ATCTGTAGAGAGGGCATTTAGAGCAAGAGCCTGAAACTGAGAGGCATTGGGCCACCAGACAGGGGGATCTGACAACACCTGGGAAAGGGAATCAAGGCAGAGAGCCTATGTTCTCTTTGCATCCTGAGAAACGTGGAGACTGAACCACAGTTGACCTGAGGGAGGACAGAAAATGTCAGTCTTTTGAGAAGCAAGAGGGAGAAATGCTGCGGCTCAGAGGCCCTGGGGATAGCCACTCTGTCACAGGGCGCCCAGTGATAACAGCTCTGTGGGTGCTCATATCGGTGATGCTGTTAGGTCTCTTCACCATGCAGCTCTGGGCAGCCATCTTCCCGCGTAGGCTGAGGCTGGGAGACATGCACTAGGGCTTGCTGGGACCTGGACTGGACCGGTTTATGCTGCACAGCCCTCAGACTACAGAATACACACCAATTGACCAGAACCAGAGATGTGTTTGAGAGAAATGAACTCTCATCCTCAAAGTTATTTGTACTTCAGAAACTGACATTACTGTCGCTTAGTTTTCTTTTGTTCTATGCCCATGTTTGTTTGACTTAAAGGCAGAGTCTGGATCAGTCTGAAATCCATTGACTTGGCCAATCCAGAGGCACAGGAGTTACAAAGGCAGGAATAGATAGCCTTTTTGTTTCTGGTATTTTGGTTTTGCTATTTGATTTTTTTTTGAAGAGGTGTCATTAAGTTCTTCCCTCCCTCCTCGTGCCTCCCCTTCCTCCCCAGGGTGAATCCAATTTCCATTAAAGGTTGGAAGAGGAAGCTTGGAAGCCTCCCCAGAGCAGGATTCTCTACCTCCCTTTTTGCTGGAACACAGGCAGCCTTCAGGCTCCCCAGCTCAGTCAGGCAGAGCCTCCACAATGTGCTGCAAGCCCGGAAGTGAACTCTCATCATTATTTTTCAAAGTCTGGAAAGTGTATTATCTTTTTTTCCTAGTGGTAATTAGTTACCATAGCATTTAATACATAAATGTGCCCAGAGCACACCATTAACAGTTAAACGGAGGATTCAATTTAACACATGATTATATCTTTCATAAGTCATTACATTGCAACAGTCACTGCTACTCATGCCAGGTCAGGTCCAAAGGCAGGTGGAAAAGACAGAAAGCTTTGGTTTTGGTGCTGCTTGCCAAAAGTTCATGAGAAAGGGAATTCAGAGGGCCTGAGTTTTCCCTAGTGGTCTGTGGTAGGAAATGGGTGTAATTGCAGGAAGAAAAATTTCTGTACAACACAAGGGTTGCTCAGTTGGAGAGTGGAGAGAAAGAGCATGGCAATGTACATCTGCCCCCTCCGCCCTCCCCGTGTGTGTGTGTGTGTGTGTGTGTGTGTGTGTGTGTGTGTGTGTGTGTGTGTGGTGTATTCAGCATACCACAGACACACACATCTACCGACCTCAGGAAGGAGGAAGGAGAGGTGACTTTTCCAGGATATTCACTTGCAGGAACCTTAGTGGCTGCCAGGCCTCCGTGGTGAACTTGTGTTTGAATTCCAGTGAGACTCAGAAGATGAGCGGGACTCCATCCAGGTCTCATGGGCCCACCCTCACTCCCCTGAGTATCTGCTGCAGGGACTCTCCTGAGAAAGCATCCAAAAGTCTGGTGGACACCTCAGGAAGCTCTTGAATGAGCCACTGTTGGCTGGAACATGCTCACACTTTCAGGACACCTGGGCAAGGGCACTCCTGGTGGCCCTGGTGCTATGTCCTCTTCAGTTCTGATGAAGGGGTCCCACCTGATCAAAGATGATGGTGCAGCAGTGAAAGGGTTAAGTCTTCAGAGAAGGTAGAAAATGGGACTCAGAAGAGAAGGTTGACATGTCTGGAAATATTAAAATTAAACAGAATACCATTGCCCCCAACGCATTTAGGTTACACCTGTTTGACATTTTCTGTCAACCTCCTTCTCCAGTCTCCTCCCCCTTGCATTTGAGTTCTCCTCTGGACTAAGCATGGACCCTGGGTGAGGGGAGAAGCAGAATTTCTTTTTCCCTGAATTTCAAGACTTGTTATTCTGTCCAATTTCTGATAATGGTCGAACAGTGCAAAGGTTGTAGAGGAATTATTTCAAGGAGGCCTTCTTAATAATGCAAAATATTAAGCAGTAAATCTTGCAGGAAATGTGTCCCCTACAATGTTAATAGGTAAAAGGGAAAAAAACTGACTGGTGGTGACTGTGGCTAATTCCTAATCAGAATGATGGACAGCAGGGCCAGAACAATACAAACTAATGGCTGTGTTGCTGATCACTTTACCCCTTGATTAAAGACACCCAATTATGGTGCAGAACAGTGTCGTAATTATGTTTCTTAATCACATCCAGGAGGTTTAATTGCCTTAACGATGTGTTTCATTAAATGAATTTAGGTATTATAGTCGACAGTTTTCATACACAGTTGTTTTCAAATTAACATAATATTAGACATCGTCATGGAAATTGTTTTAATAATCATAATTAGACGCACCCTGGCTTTGTCTGGTAAATGCTGAGAGATGGCCTTCTTCTCCTGTCTGGGGGCTGTCCTGGTCCCTTCCTCCTGTCTACCTGGAATCCCTGACTGGGAGGGCTTGAGCTTCAAGGTCCTTTTGCTCTTACATTATCTGAAAAGTTACAGGTCCTGATTAATCTTCTTTGATGACAAGTGGAGTCAAAAACAGCCTTCCCCACCACCACCCACTAAGTTTGATGGCATTTGCGGAGATCTTTATGAGCTGACACCTTACAGAGCCCCACACATACTCACAGATGTATTCAGGCAACGAGGTCCAGTGGGAGCTCCGTATCTTCACACCTCCACATCAGCACTACCACCTGTATGATGCCCATCACTGTACCAATTATACCTTCCCAGCTCAAGAGCTAAGGCCCAAAGACACACTGATTCATCATACCTTAGTAGATCCCACGCCTAGCCCAATCCAAACACCAAACATCTCATTAATGAGCAGCAGAATAAACTCTGGGAATCTCCATGGACATTACTTACACTTAGGAAATTCAATCAAGTTGACTCTTTTGTCACATAAAAGTAGAATGAAGTCACAACAAAGTCGGTGTTCAGAGAATCCAAATCCATCTTTTCCCTTGACCTTCAAGTGTTTGGAGGTAGGGCTTTTGATTAGAATGTCTTTTAAATAAAAGTTTACTCACTTTGGCAGGCCCAGCATGGCCTAGATAACATACATGTGGGGCAGACTTCAGGGAGAGCCTGGCTTTGTGAGTTCCTGCCAGTATTGGGAACTCTAGGCCTATCCTGGGTCCCACCAATGACCTTTCTCACCTCTGCTTCCATGGGATCCCAGCTGTTGTCCTTTTAGTAAACTTGTGATAATAGGGTTACTCCTAAATTGTACAGCACTGACAAAACTTCTGGAAACACCTTTCCTTTTCTGTCCCTTTTCAGGCAAGAATAACAGAGGAGAGAGGTAGTGCCTCTTTCTACAAAGCACAGCATGATAAAATGTTTGATCAAAATATTTTAATAAAGATTCTTTCTGACATAGATACACATACAAATGGTCGTACATAGCTGTCATAGTCTGTGACCTATTTAATATATATATTATTCTTTACACATCCAAAACCCACTGACAGATCCATCACAGCTCTGAAATCATCATCCAACCTGACAAACTGAATTTGAATTATCTGTAAGGAGTGGAAAACAGCAAGACTTCATTTCTGAAGAGGTTTTTCTGGATTCTCATAGGACGAAAGGCAGGCAGATAGCCATGCAAACTAAAACTGACAGCTCACTTTGGGTGAACAGCTCCTTGCTCTTCATTAGTTTTTTTTTCATTTCTTTTAAATTTTTAGATTTTTTTTAGAAAAATAACAAATGATTTCACAACATAAGCGAATCAAAGCAGTCTTTTAACGTAGTAAGTCTTCACAGTTAGAATAACTTATATATGTACATCTATATTAAAATCAATTAAATTAGGCCTTTCAAAAAGCACAGCACAACCTGGAAAATATATTTGCCTAGCAGGTTCTCAGTTACAAGATCTATCTCTGTGATGGTTTTCCCCTTTTGGAATGCAAATAGGTCCCCATTTGAAAAAGAAATCAATTCGTTCATCAATTAAGAATACACCTTTCCTGTAATTTTTGGACTGAAGCAATTTATTAAAGCTCAATTTAAATACAGGGATGATGCAACTCAAGTATCCAGGTGACCTTTCAAAAACCCAAGCAGCTCAGATACATCAATGTTCCTCTTCATAATCGTTGGCAAATAAACCTTTAAAACACTTGGCACACAGTGTAAGTTAATATATAAAACAGAATTTTAGAAGCATTAAAAGAAAATCTTCACATTAAAGACCCAAGACCTTAACACGTAATAAATACTGTTCATGTGGATCATTAAAGAATAACAAATAAATATCATGAATCGTTAATACATCATTGCAGAGTGAAAAGTAACAAGGTGCACATAAATATTTTAAAAGCAATTCTTTCATCCACAGCCTGCTATTTGTTTAATATCACTCTCCCCAAAACTTTGAGCATTTTTTTCCACGGGATTTTTAAGTTCAGAGAGGCAATAAAAAATACAAGTCTTTCATAGCAACGTGTGTCTCTCTCTGCTTTCCCCTCCACTTAAATTAAGTCTGCATTTCAAGTTTTTCTCCTGGCTCAGAATCAAAATTTATTTTCGAGTGCCCTTTCTGATTTGTCTGAATGAATATTCTGTCCCCCAAGCCTTTCAAGAGATACTCCTCTCCCCTTCAGTACTAGCCAAATTCTCCGCTATTAGTAAGGTTAGTATTTTGTCAGTCAATATTTTTCACGTCTAATAAACAAGCACTACTTTCCAACTTATTTTTCACCTTCCAAGAAGACTGTACTTCCTCGAAGTCTAAGTTGCCACTTTTCTGAGGGGGGAAAAAAGACCTCCACACTCGATCTCATCTCAACTCCCTCTCCCCTCCCTCCCTACCCCAAAGACTGTGAGTCAGGGCATGCCAAGGCTGAAAGTCCGGTTTGTCTCAGATACGCCTCAGTTTCTGTCTCTGCTTTGTTTGCCTTGCAAGTGTTTCACAACTCGGAGAGGACCAAAATAAAAGGGGTAGGGAGCAGCTTCTTGCTTTCCTCTGGCTTTGGAGTGGGTCTCGAGGCTTTCCAGGGAGGGAGTGTTTAAGGCTTCTCCGTGCACTGTTTGCAGAGGCTGGACGAGACGCTGTTGAACAGGGCGCACTTCTCGGGACAGGAGGCAGCCGGGGGGTAGCCCGGCGCTGAACGGGTAGCCTGCTGCCTGCTCGTAGGCGCCAAGAGCGGGGTGCAGGGCAGCGGCCGCCGCCGCAGCGGCCGCCGAACTGGGCAAAGAGGCGGCAGAGATGGCCTGGCCTTGGTTGAGGTAGGCGACTAGGCGCCGCATCTCCTCCAGGGCCTGCGCCTGCATGAGGATGTAGTTCTTGGCGAGGAGCAGAGTGGCGATCTTGGAGAGCTTCCGCACAGAGGGACTGTGCGCGTAAGGGATGACCGCTCGCAGCTCGTCCAGAGCATCGTTCAGGTCGTGCATCCTCCGGCGCTCGCGGGCGTTGATGTTGAGGCGCAGCGCCTTCTGCTCTTTGGATTTCTTGCTGCTGCTGCCGCCGCCACCGCCGCCGCCGCTTCCGCCGCCACCGCTGCCCGTAGAGCCCCCCGGGGGGAGGCCCGCGCCGCCGTGCAGGTGGGCGTTGGAGCAGCCCTCCACCACCTTGGTGCCGCCGCCCCCCGCTCCCGGGGATGCCCGCGGGTCGGCGCCCCCGGCTCGCAGCACCAGCTCACAGCGGCCGTCGCTGTCGTCGTCGGGGCTCTGCTCGCCGCCGCTGCTCTCTGCCACCGAGCCGCGGCCCGCGCTCTCTCCGTACTTGAGACACAGGGCGGCCCCCGCCGGCAGGCTGCTCAGGTTCGGGTCGCCCCCCCACGCCCGCTGAGCCCACCAGTAGCCCAGGGACACTCACCCCGCCGCCGCCGCCGCCGCCACCGCCACCACCCGCGCCGCCTCCTCCTCCGGGCGGCGGCAGCAGCAACCCGGCCCCTTCGGGGTCAGCCGGCTCGAAGCAGCCTAGGGGCGAGGACGACGACGACGCTGGGCGTTCACGAGGCGGCGGTGCCAGGGACAGGTCCATTCCTGGGGGCGTGGAGCGGAAAGCCGCCTCCAGGCGCTTGGCGGTGGAGGCACCCAGGCTCTTGTGCAGGAAGAGGTCGTCTTCGCTCGCCGCCGCCGCGCCGAGGTGCAGCCCGCGCTCCATCGCCATGGCCCGCCAAGCTGCCCGGGGCCGGCCACCGCCTGGGCTCGGGAGTCAGGCGGCCGCACAGACGCGCGCCAGCCGGGCTACGGAGCTGCTGCGCGCGTCGGTCCCAGCGCTGCCCGCAGCCCTGTCCCCTTCTTTCTTTTTCTTTTTCGCCTTCCCCCGCGCTCGCCGCCTCCTCTTCTTCTTCTTCTTCGTCTCCAGCCGACGGTGCTGGCTGCTGGGGCTCACCATGGGCCGCGGCCCCTCATGGTGGGAGGGTGGTCGCGGAGGGAGTGGAGCCGCCGCCGCTCTGAGTCCAGCCCCGCGCCTCCTCTCCGCACCGTTTATCTTGCTTGGATTCACCTTCAAGAGATTTCCGGACCCATCAAGCAGCCGCCGCCACAGACGGGGGAGTCTTTTACATCATTATCTCTGAGTAGGTTATTATGAAGAAGACTCGCCTGTTGGGACAGCGCTTTCTACCCAATCAGGTTAACGTTTTAATTAATAGGATTAAAACGGTAACAAACAATCGCAGGCGCTATCTGGCCGCGAGTCTGAATAGTTTCATTTCCCAGGTCTGAAGACAGGCAGCAGCCAGAGCTTTATAAAAGGCGCCTGCTCCATTATTCTGCCTGCCATCTGTATACACAGCTTAGCGCATATGTTTGCAAGGCGCTGGGTCCTGTTAGTAACCCAACAACTGCCTTTAGCTTGACATGTGTGGCGACTTTCACTCATCAATGAGCACACTAAAAGCCCTACTTAGAGCCGAGGATGTTCTTTGCTCCTTCAGCAAATTGTAGATAGGCGGTAAAGGCTGGGAGTCCGGTGGGGAGCAGACTCCCCCACCCGCCCCCACTGCGCCCCACCCCCACCACCCCTCACTTGCCACTACTGTCTCAGCTTGAGGAGTTACCCTCACAGGAAAGAATTACATTCCACCCTGTTCATAGCCTGTCTGCATTTCGGGATGGGACCTTGGGAGAGGGGGCTGATGTCCCTGCTGTCTTGCTCTGAGTTTACTCTAGATTTTCAGCTACTATGTGAGCAAAGCAAGAGTGAACCCGGACCTGCACCCCCCTCCAATTCAGGACTTTTCCCCACACCTCTCAGCCACTGATTTCCTACACAGATGAGAAAATAAAAATAAAACACCAAAACGATGATCAAGCTGCTCACATAGCCCATTTGCTTTAAAACTCGAAGGGGGTGGGGTGGGGGAGTCGTTTGCTCTTGCCCCACCCCCCGATAACACACACTGCTAAAGTGGTGGTGACAAAAGCTTACAGCTTTATGGACGGAAAGAAACTGGTCTCAAACTTTTCTCAAGATTTAAATCCAGTTGCTTCGCAAGAGTGAACATAGTCGGACCCTCTCACACACCAAGTGGGGGCATTCGTGCATAATCATTTAGCCGCATGCATAACATAACCCGCTGCTGCTCCAAGCCTTTTGGGGACATCTGGATCCATCTGGGCTGTTCCTGGAGGGTTAGTTCAGGGCAGAATTATGAAAACAAGTGCTCTCCGGATGGGGACAGTACACCCGGTCCTCGCGCTTCTGAGTTCTCTCTCTCTCTCTCTCTCTCTCTCTCTCTCTCTCTCTCTCTCTCTCTCTCTCTCTCTCTCTCTCTCTCTCTCTCTCTCTCCCTCCCCCCCTCTCTCTCTGTCTGTCTTTCAGCACATGGTAATTAGCGACTAGTTTTCATCCTTATAACAAAAGTAAAAACAATATTCCCCTGCATCTCCAGCGAGTCTTTCTCCGGTGGCAGAATTACTGAAGGCTGTGTAGTTTGTGGTTTTTCTGGTTTCATTAAAAACCTTTTAATTGTGGCTTTCAGAGTTGGCCCCAGGTGTTGTACTCTTTTCATTATATTTTGTTCTAATGTGATGAAATTCTAATTCTCTCCTTACCATATGGTTAAATTTCCCCACTGAGAATTAGTTGAAAAGGGAGAAATAATCTATTAATCTCTGTAATAGATTCACAAATGAGGTTCAGCACAGAACCTGCTTTTGAATGGTAATATCAGAACAGTTGGGCACCTTATTCCATACTGGGAGTTTGAGGGCACCCACCGAAATGCCTGCGTTGTCACCTGGAAAGGATGGAAAGACTAGGCTCTGCTTTTCCAGAATGATTGCCTGAGATACAGCCTCTCAGGGAGAAAACCACTACCAGGTCGTCTGTTACTGGTGTTCCTTCAGCTGTATCGGAACCCAAACATTGAGAACTAGCAGAAGGACTGCCTGAAGCTCTGTTGCCTGGGATCTTGGCCTGGCCGTTAACAAAGCTCTTTGGTGCAGGACAGTGTCTCTCTTGCAACTCTAGGCTTGGCATCCCCTCTTTGACTCTTCTGTTCCTGGCAGCTGTTAATCTGTCCCTTTAGAAAGCTAAAGACACACTGGTGTCATTGTTTATCAATTAGCAGCTTTGTTTTCATAGGGATCATAAAGGTAGGGTCTCTACAAACACAGGTAGGTCTTCTTCTCCTGGTTATAATAGGCTGATACCAGGCTGTTAATCCGAGGATGGAGGCTAGAGCTATGGTGGTCCTGGGCAGAATGGTTGAAAAATGTTCCCTAATGTCTGACTTCGTTCTCCAGGGTATTTTTTTTTATTGTTGTGTTCTCTCATTCTCCTCGGGATGCCTGGATTCCATCGGGGGTCTGGAGAAGGTATTTAAAAGGCAGAGGATGCTGCAAGTGCCAGTTTGAGAAGAGCTCTGACCTAGCTGCCCCTTTTTACTGGGTGACATCCAGGAAGGATAGGACAATTAAAAAGCAAACAATAACCAGGTTGATGCCACTGGTGTCATAACAAGACTTCAGCAAATTTTGATTCTTTTCGTGGGTATCCGAAGACTCATTACCGGAGAATATAATCTCATTTCCCTAGTACCACCCCCTATGCCCTCCAACATCGTAAATTCTACAGTAAAGTTTTGCTCAACTTTATTCCCCTAGGTAGTAGCCACCAATCTCTCTCCTGAGATTGGAGAAAAATCCCCCAGGGCTCCCCGAAGGAGGCGGCTGTTTAATAGTCGCTGGAAAGTTGTGCTGGGGAAATGGCCAGAGAATTTATGGGAGCTTTAAACGCGGGCCTTATAACCACCTTCGGGGAATGGTCTTCCAGGTTTATGCACTCGTAAACTTTTGCTGATTGCTTCTGGGAAGTTGTCAGGCACTTAACACTGCATTTATCTTACAGGGCAATGAAAACACATCTGCCCGACGTCTTGTTACCCGGTTTAATCATCACCAACCCAAATCACTGCCTCAACTTCCTTTCACTTTGGGTAGAATCAGGCCGCGGGGTTTCTGGCCCAGCGGATGGTGACGTCAGCAGCTCTCTCAATATCCTCAGGCCGCGGGAACTCTAAGAAATCTTAAACTTTGATTCTGCAGGAGTTGTTAGAGGCAAGACCCTAGCTCTGAAGCAACGGGCAAGCTGCAAAGCTGAATGCAAAGTCCAAACCAGAGCTTTCTTCTCAGGAGAGTGAGATCGGGACACTAGGGCTCGATCTCCAGACCTAGACATGAGTCCCCTCCCTCCCTGATCATGAACCGTCTGTAGGAGACTCCCGGGCTCTGCTCTGCAGTGTTTAATCGAAAGGGGGTGGCGTGGAAGACCAGAGACCCAGGGGACAGGTCCTTTGACCTGCACCAGTGGTAGGATGGGACAACTAAGGATGTTCGGCGGGGCAAGGGCGGGGGCAGGTCGTGGATTTCCCAGGGATTGGACTGGTGGCCTCAGTGAAGAAGCTGCTTGGCCAACACATTCCAAAAGGGTCCGCTTGAGGCTGAGTGCTGGATCCAAATGAACACACATCAAAGGGCTCTTATAAATATAAATATGAGCAATCTTTTATTGTTGGAGGAAATACTCCGAAAGCCTTGAAAAAGAGTCTAAAGCATTCAGCAAGCATCGCCGCGCTGGAATTGGAGGGTGGAGTCGCAGACCCAACTAATGCGTAGGTCAGATTTATATTCCTTGGAGATGATTTTAATATTTGTTTGGATTTGAAAATAGCTGAAACAGAACCGTAATGGAACTCACCCTACCTTAAAAGTTGGATGCAAGGAATCTCGCTGCGGTATTTCCGCATCTCTGATAACTCTATGGCTTCTCTAGATTAAGCAGTCAGGAGAAGTACAGCTCTGTCTGACTGCGTGCTTCAATTTATCTATTTCAGAACACTTTGGAAAATAAAAACAAAGTTGAATAAAAATAACTAAACTTTAGGTTAGGAGCCGCCGCTGGGGGTTGGAGTGAATTCTCAAGAGCTGTGGGAACATTGTGACAGACTGAAGGGGTGGGGAGCCTCCCTGCTCTGGAGGTCCTGTCTGGCAGCGACTGCTGGGCCCCCAGGGACCCTCTCTGACAAACTGCTCCTGCGCTGACAAATCCAAAGCGGTGAAGCCGGAGCCCCCCATCCCTCGAGGCCAAGGCTCTCTTGGCTGTTCTCCAGCCCCAGGAAGAGGCACCTCAACCTTGAAGTTGCATTTGCTTCCTCTACACTTTAGTGTTCAGTGTCACTTGGATCCACTGAACGCCTGCTCCACGCCCTGGTCCCTTGAGATCTCAGTCCGAGTCCATCAAGCGCTCAGGGTAAAGTTCCTCTGCATCCTTTAGCCATCAGTATTTGATTCACCTCCTTCAAAGCTGTCTGGAGAGAAGTGGGTCTGAGAATGTCTAGCACTCTCCGAATTGAAAAGAACCGGCAGGGAAGAAGCCAGGACCAGGAAAGTGGCTGTAGCTATGAAACAGTTCTGACAGCAGCGCTCCAAGGACCTCAAGGACCTCAAACTTTCCGGTTGTACAAAGGCTTCCAGGTTCCCAAAATTCTGACCTGGGAAGAGTAAGGGTTTGATACAAATTCTACAAACTGCCCCTTAATCTATTTTAAAGAAAAGAGATTGGTCTTCAGGGATGCAGTAGTTCAAGTATGCATAAAGCAGACAGAAATCTTCAACTTCCAAAAGCGGTTCCTCGAAATCATGCAAACTGGCCCAAACCCGCTTAAGGAATGTTCCCAATCCTGGTGACTTTCAAGGTCAGGCAGTCTGTGTAACAAGAGAGTAATATGGTGCCTGAAATCCGGAGGACAACCCAAGCTATGTGACTGAGACAAATGGAAAACTAGTGGGAAGAATTTATGAAGAATTCACTAAACCCTTTCTTTAGACATACAATGTGGCTGTCTTCCGTGGGGACTGGTAACAATACACTTCTTTGTCCTATTGCAGGAATCGTTCCCCTGAAATCTTATTTTCAAATTGTTAGAAAACATTCGGGAAAATGTTTAAAGTAATTCGAACAAAAATGGTGGATACTTTAGGGTTTGACCAGAAATAAGAAAAGTAAAGCTTTAGTTGGGCTTTGGGAGTGTTAACTCTGAGATTTAAAACCCACAGCGCCATCTCCTGACTTAAAAGAGAATATCACGGTGCATGATAATTTTTGAAAGCTAAAAGACGAAATATTCAGGTACCAGAGTAACACTTTATTTTAAGCTTCAAAAATCATTTCGGTGATAGCTTGGTTATGATTAAAAACATTATCTAGATGCCTACGACCATTAAACACTGTCTGGTGCAATTCCCAACGGGAATTATTTGTAAGGAGAAGTTTGTGTTCTAGTTTTATATATGCATCAATTTCATACAATCAGAGTAGTTCTGCTGGGAAATATTCTTTAATTTTCCAAATACAGAATTTGTTCATAGAAATTAAATCATAGGTTAACTTCTAAGGCAGGCTTAACTTAAGCTTAAGTACTGTCAGGAATGAACAAGTCAGCAAATACTTAGGTATTCCCTTACTATTCAGATGATTTATCA